GTGTGTGTGTGTGTGCGCGCGCGCGTGCGCGCGCACGCGCATTAGTGAACGTTCAGGTCTCAGAACATTTTACAGGAGTCAACACATTCCTTCCACTATGTGGATTCAGGGGATCAAATTCAGGCCATCAGGCTTGGTGGCAAGAGCTGTCCTGAAACTAGCTCTGTAGACCAGGCTGGCCTCAAACTCCCAGAGATCCACCTGCCTCTTCCTCCTGGGTGCTGGAGAGCTAGTACTGAGATTAAAGGCATGTACTTTTTTTTTTTTTAATGTGAGGCAGGGTCTTACTACCTAGCCTGTTGGTGTGCACTGTCACACCTGGCCAGTATATAGGCACTTTCAAATGCTTAGTCCACTTGATAAGCCCCAGGGCTTGGGCCTCAGTGCTTTCTGTCCCCTGCCCCTTTGGGTCATGCAGGTAGCACTTGCTGCCCTCCAGGTCTGGGGGGCTTGGGTTATGTTTAGTACTAAGAAAGCGAAGACAGACACAGCTGTGAACGCAAGGCCATCTGAAACAGGGCAGGACCCGCCGTGGGGCAAACTTCTCAATGATCCTTTTCCTGTGTGGTAACAGTTTCTTCCGTGGGGAGCTGTGGTCTGTGGGTAGCGCAAACACTGCGTGTTTTCATCCCAGCGTCACAAAGCCAGCTACTTATGTTAAGCAAATTTTACATTTAATTAAAAGTACTTATTTAAAACCACACTGTATTTTGTCTGTGTATGTTTATGCAAACACATGCCTTGGTATGGATGTGGAGTTCTCTGCTTCTACCATGTGGGTCCCGGGGATCAAACTTAGGTCTTCAGGCCGGGTGGTGGTGGCGCATGACTGTAATCCCAGCACTTGGGAGGCAGAGGCAAGCGGATCTCTGTGAGTTCAAGGCCGGGCTAGACCGACAGCCTCCAAAACAATACAGAGAAACCCTCTCTCGTAAAAACAAAAAACAAAAACCAAACAAACAAAAACTTAGGTCTTCAGGCAACAGGAGCTTTTCCCTGCTCAGCCAGGCCCTAACCTTAGGCGTTAGAAAAGATAGTTCATTAAAAAAAATTACTGAGCATCATTTTTTAAATTATAAAGTAGTAAATAGGCAACAGCTGAATGCTGTTGTATGCTACACTAATTTTTTATAAGATTGTTTCTGGGACAGCTCTTTAAAATAAATGTGTTTGCATGTAAAACAATTACTGAAAATATTATAGATCATATCTGAAATAATATTTTATTCTCTAAGTATTATTTATTTTTAAAGTTTCATATATGTATACTGTATTTACATCATTTCTCCCCTCCTTCTCCTTACTTCATCTCCTACTATGTCTCTCTACTCTTTCTCTTTTTCTTTATTATTACACACACACAGACACACACACACACACACAAAACGAATAAATATATAGGCACAACCTGCTGAGTATGTTATTTGCTCACATGTATATGTTTTTAGGGCTGAGCGATTGGTATTGGATAGCCAATTGGGGGTTCATCCTGAGGAAGAATGATTCTTCTCTCTTGGCAGTCATTAGGAGCCTGCAGCTCTTCATCTAGGGATAGGACCTTGTGAAAATTTTCCCATCTGTGTTGCCATGTCAGCTGGTGCTAGTGATGCTTAACCCCAAACTTTAAATCAACTTTAGATACAAATAGGATACACTATATGTCCTAATTTAATTTGTGGGAAGTCTTGATAAGATCTATCTTGTTATGGTAACTTTTTTTTTTTGGATTTAAAAATCTACTTCACACCTCAGTGATTTCAAAAGAAAATGGGATATCTTCCTCACAGTGTAGTGGACAAGCAGACTACCCTTACAGACCTGCCTGGCAAGATCAAAGTCCCTTCAAAGATTTATTTTTATTTATGTGCATGTGTATGTGTTTGTGTGAATGTGTGCCACCTGTGTGTGAGTGTTCGATATCAGACCTCCTGGAGTTAGAGTTGCATGGGTACTGGGAATTGAACTTGGGTCCTCTAGAAGAGCAAGAAGTGCCCTTCTGCGCTGTTTGAACTTACAAATACACCTACTTTGGTTCTTCTCGTCATTGTTGCAGTTCCTTGTCAAGCTTGCTGTGGTACAAGAAGCAGCAGAAAAGGCCAACTCATCATATTTTTAAACTACACATTAAAAAAATTATAGTTCCTGGGAAAGTAATCTTTTAACTGCAACTAACTAATAACATTGAAAAATGTGTTTGTTGTAGGATGCTGTAGTCCTTTTCTCAAACCATAAATTGTTTGTAGGGAAAACTGAATTTGCCTACCTAAGCTGTATATATGAACTTCCAGTCCTATGTTAATTAACCCAGTGCTCTCATAAATGAATCTTTCGGCTTCAGGTTAATTGACTCTGTGTGAGATATATGTATATGTTCTCTTGTTAGTTAGAAAGCAGCAGTTCTAATATACTTTCCTCCCCGTAGGCCAGCTTGAATGAGTAGACTGCAGACTTTGGCCAGAACATACTGCAAAGTTGTACTCTTCTACAAAATTCCCCAAGTCAAGGAGAACTAATCTTCTAGAGTACAACAGCTTCTTTATATGCAGTGGTTGAAATGCTCTTATGTCAACATTTACAAACACATTGACATTATTCTTGACTGTCTTCCCATTGTATCTCAAGTCTACTTAGTTTTTCAGTGCAATTATTTTGTATTCTGGTAAACTGACCTGACCAATGATAACTCTTAAAGGTGCGTGAGTGATGTTGCTAGACCACTAAGGCCAAATGGACCACCATGGCAGGTGTTCAAGTGCAGGGCACTGGAGTTTATCCAAGGACACTATTGAAGAAGCAGAGGGTATAGTTCAGTAAGAAGTAGGGATTTGGGGAAGTCCTTTGACATTTTGATTGACAAACATCATAAAAATGATTGCAGTCTGGGTGTGATTGGCAGGTAACTCAAAGAGTGAAGGTCAGAGGGATTTTGACTGTAAGGAATTTGGTTGTGAAAAACTAGTGTATAATTCTAGGGATACACACCTACCTGAAGGAAACTCAAATGACCCACCTGTTAGTGTTCAGACATCTGTACTGGCCTGACCTTGGGGTTCTGACAGGATACATCCTCAGCTGCAGCCACTAAGAGCACCACCTGTGCACATTCAACTACATTCCTTTTTAAAAGGGCCCTGCCCACCTCCCATCCCCCCTCCTCCTCCCTCTCCTCCCTCTCTACCCTCCCTCTCTCTTTTCCTCTCTTCTGCTGCTCCTGTCCCCAGAGACTTGCCTCCCCTCTCCCTCCCCCCTTTCCCATTAACTTTCCTCCAATAAAAGATCCCTCCACCTAAGCTCTGTCACATGATGTCTTTCTCTCATACACAGCTTTTTAAAATTACAACACTACTAAATTCTATTGCAATTCTCAGGAAATGACCATCCACTTCTACCATACCCCGCCGAGTAAAACTGTGTTTATATCACCGTGTAAGGATGAAACATTAGTGGTGTGAGGACAGTGTTGTAGATTACAAATCCTGCCAGGCGTTGGTGGTGCACACCTTTAATCCCAGCACTGGGAAGGCAGAGGCAGAAGGATCTCTGTGAGTTTGAGGCCAGCCTGGTCTACAGAGCAAGTTCCAGGAAAGGCTCCAAAGCTACACAGAGAAGCCCTGTCTCAAAAAACCAAAACCAACCAACCAACCAACCAAACAAAACCCCAACCCCCCAAAACAAGAATCCAAAACAAAAACCCCAAACCCAACCAAAGACAAACAACATAAGCCCCCAACAGCAACAACAATAACCCCAAATCTCCATCCTTTCAACACTTCCATCCTTTATGGGTAGCCACCATTAGCATTTCAGAAAATGTAATACAAGTATCTGGATACAGGTGTGTATAAGCATGGCAAGATTCAGGCCGTGAATTTTGATGGCAGGAAATGTAGTTAGCGTTTTTCTATAAGATAAACTAGTTCTAATTTTTTAAAGCTGTCCAGACATGGGTAGCCTGAGCATAGCCTTCTGGATTCCCCTGGGCTTTTTTGCTGCTTTGAGAACTGTGTGGCTGGGGTGGTGGTGACAGATAGCCAGTGTACGAGGTGGGTGAAGTGTGTTTTTCTCAGTGTCACCTGACTCTGTCACAGCTATCTTTCTCTCATCACCCAGCTGTCGGATCCTGTGGCTTTAAGAACTCTGTGGTTGGCTGCGTGGTGGTACACACCTTTAATCCCAGCACTTGGGAGGCAGGTGCAGGTGGATCTGAGTCTGAGGCCAGACTGATGTATAGAGTGAGTTTCAGGACAGCCAGAGCTGCACAGAGAAGCCCTGTCTTGAAAAACAAAAACAAACCAACAAAAGACTTGTGAGGTCTGGCTCCCCAATTATGTCTGGGATCCTTGTGGTACACCCCTAGCCCTCCAGGAACTGCTTGATTCTTCCTGTTCCACAGTAGGTGGTATGCAGGGGAAATCTGCTAGTTCCCAGGCCACTGGCTTGGCTGTCTGTGTGAAACACTGTAGCATGCTCCCTATCCCATCTGGTGTTCCTCTTCATGCAGTGAGGCCCCGGCCTTCTTTGTAGTAAGACTCATGATTCACCTCTCCTGGAGCATGGGAGGCAGTGGTGGTATCTCAGGTCTCTTTTTTGGGTAGCGCTTAATTCACTTTGCTGTTTAAACAGTATAGGTTCTGTCTTAGTTAGGGTATTTATTGCTATGAAGAGACACCATGACCACAATAACTCTTACTAAGGAGAGAACATTTAATTGGGGCTGGTTTACAGTTTCAGAGATTTAGTCCTTTATCATCACGGTGGGAATCATGGTTGCTCGAAGGCAGACATGGTGCTGGAGAAGGAGCTGAGAGTTCTACATCTTGATACACAGGCAATAGGAAGTGAACTGTGTGTCACACTGGGTGTAGCTTGAACATATATGAGGCCTCAAAACCCACCTCCACAATGATGCATGTACTCCAACAAGGCCACCGACTTTTATTGGGTCTGGAATCAACCAAGAGATTTGCCTCTGGGTAGGTCTGTGAGGTCATTTCCAGGAAGGTTGGCACCTTCCCATGAGAGCCTAGATACAGTTTCCAGGAAGTAGAGCATCGAGAGCATCTATTCCTGCTGTTGGCACTCCTGCCAGCACCATCCTCCACTGACGTCAGAATTCAGCTTCTGTAGCCTCCTAATGTGGACCAAAGGCCAGAAACTCTCCGGTAACTTTCCAGGACTTCAGCATCCATCAGAGCTGGACTATGGGACACCAGGCTTGTGGACTAAGCGGCAAGGTTTTCAGCTTCTCTGGTGTGCACATGGCTGTTGCTGAACTCCCCAGGCCTTATCGTGTAAGCCAATCTAGAGGTCCACTTTAACAGTGTGTGTATACATTCTGTTCCTCCAGAGAACCATGCGAAATCCACTTCTTGATCACCTACTGGCAGTCTTCTCTAAGATAGCCTCTTCTTCAGTCAAGAGCCAAGAGAACAGCCGTTTCTTTTTTTATTATTTAATTAAATTTTTCTTTTCAAACATGATTTTCTCCATGTAAACATGATTTTCTCCGTGTAGCCCTGACTGTACTAGAACTTGCTCCATAGACCAGGCTGGCCTCAAACTCACAGAGACCCGCCTGCCTCTGCCTCCCGAGTGCTGGGATTAAAAGCGTGCTCCACCACCCTTTTCTTAAGCATGCCTCTGGCTGGGATTCCTTCACTCTACCCGGATAAGAATCATGGGTCAGCAAGGAGAAGCTGTTATGGAGCTGGCAGTCTTGGGCCTATCAGTGTCCAAGGCCTAGGGGCTTGACAGACAGATCTAGAGGTTTTTAGGTCCAAACCTTGATGTCTAGAGACCTATCGCTTCAGGCTTTAGAAGCTAGTAGCATATGGTGCTCAGGTTGGAGGCTTGTCAGTGCCTCAGATACTTGGCAGCTAGCGGCCCACAGAGAGTGATGACTGAATACAGTACCAGACAGTGCCTGCTGGGGTTGCAGTTCTCACACAGGCCTCAGGTGCTGGGACTTTCAGTTCCACAGTTCTCACACAGGCTCCACAGAGACAAGTGTTACACTTTCGAGCCTAGGGTGCTGATACCCGGAACTCTTACATGGCCGTAGAGTTTGGAATTCTTCCAGCTACTAGGACCCATTGTCTCTTGTCTTCGGATTTTTCCAGCCTTCATTTTCTCTGGTTACCCATTTCTGTCCTGGCTGTTCTCTGGAACCTTTTAACATTGCTATGGGTTTGTGGCTCCTTCTCTTGTCAATCATTTGCCACCATCTCAGCCTGCCCTAGTGTGGAGGTATGAATGAGGACTGACCCCATAGGCTCATATATTTGAATGTTTAGTCATCAGAGCGTGGCATTATTTGAAAGGATTAGGAGGTGTGGACTTGTTGGAGGAGGTATGTCACTGGGATTGGGCTTTGAGGTTTGAAAAACCCACACCAGGCCCAGTCTCTGTCTCTGTCTCTCTGTGTCTCTGTTCTCTCTCTGTGTCTCTGTCTCTGTTCTCTCTCTCTGCCTAAGATCAGGATGTCACTGCTCCAGCACTTGCCTGCATGCCACCATGCTCCCCGGCATAATGATCATGGACTAAACCTCTGAACCTGTAAGCAAGCTCCCAATGAAATGCTTTCTTTCATAAGAGTTGCCTTGGTCATGGTGTCTCTTTCCAGTCGTAGAACAGTGACTAAGACACTTAGTAACAATGCAGACCAAAATGAGCAAGAGAGGAGCCTTTTATTGAGTGTAATGTGGTAATACCAGGAGAGAACAAAAGACGTCTCTTTGCGAGCCAGATAGCTCAAGTATATAGTAAGAAAGGGTGTGGCAAGAGTGTCTGCACCAATCATGGGCTGTGTGTACAGCTCACAGACTTCTGTTGGGGACCACAAGGGAAGTGCTCTTTCCTTGGTCTAGGTGGAAATGACTGTAGACTCATACACTTTATTGGGCTGGTGATGGCAAGATGTTCTGTCCTGTGGCTAAGACAATGCCTTCAGGAGTTAGAGTTGTGCTTTTGCAGCAAACAGCTGTAGCTTCTGTACAGCTTCCTCAAAGTGTCTGCGAAGTGTTCAGAGCACTGATAATCTCTCATTCTGGCAGTCAAGGCACCAGGGTGGGGTCCAACAGTTGTCAAATGCCCAAATCTTATATTTTTAAAAGGAAAAATGTCCATTTTAGAAGTGCTTACAATAAAGATCTGTCATAATTTTATGTTTCCAGGAAGAGACTTGCAACTGAGACAAGACCTAGGACACTTAAAAATAAAAAATCCCTTCAAAAATACACCAGTGTTGCAATGCTGACATTTTGGATACTGCTAGCACTGTTTGTAGCAAATAGGAGAAATGCCATTCATGTTGGGAAACACATTTTTTTAATTCAAAAATTTTAAATAGAGTATGGATGGTGCAACACAATTGTAGTCCCAGCGCTTAGGGGCTGAAGCAGGAGGATTGAGGCCAATCTAGGTTATGTTACGTTGTGTGTTCAAGGCTAGATTGGGTGAAACAGCTAGATCTTGTCTCAGAATAATTATATATGTATTCATACATATGTATTGTAAATATTTAAACCCGATTATGTATGTTATGAATATATAAACACACACATAATTATCTATTGACACATGAGCATTTACATAGATGTCCGTTGATGTATACTCTTTTCTCTTTATATTTTATTAATTTTTTATTTTTACATACCAATCCCAGGTCCCTTTCCCTCCCCTTTTCTTGCTCCCCACACCCTTCCCCCATGCCACCCCCCCATCCACTCCTCAAAAGTAGGGTAAGGCCTCCCAGAGGGTGTCAGCAAAGCCTGTCTCATCACCACATTGAGGCAGGACTGAGGCCCTCTCCCCTGTGTCTATGCTGAGCAAGGTATCTCTTTATAGGAAATGGACTTGGAATATATACTTTTTAAGAGACCCTATAGTAGCCCTTTTAACCATTTATCCTATCCATTGCCACAAGTGCCCCAAAGATAACACTAACACTACTTTTCTTTTTAGCATTGCATTGCCCAAACTCTCTTCCAAGCTGCTACTAACATGAGCCAGACACCACTGGGCCGGTGTCAGGAAGGGACAAAGGGTGCAATAATCTTTCCTACATACCTACATCATTGGCTCATCAGGGCTATGTGGGGATCACCTTCCTCTAAGTCACGGTGACATAGTCTGCCCCCGGTGAGAAAAAAAAATATTGACATGATGGTCAGGGGGACTTTCAAGAGAGACTGGTATGTGTCTAAGACTTGATGAGGAGCCAGTGAGATGGCCCACTGGTAAAGAGCTCTTGCTACAAAATCATGAGGACCAGAGTTGGATCCTTGGTAGCCCCAGTGGGAGCGAATTGACCCCTGAAAGTGTCCTTTAATCTCCGTATATATGTGTACTGCCCATCCTCCCCCAACCCCCCGTCTCTCAGACACCACATCCTCCACCACCACCTCCGACAGCATAGTAGCTGACACGTGATCTGTACTCAACAAACATTGCTGGCTGGTGCAAGTTTTCTCATGGGGACAGGGATTCACCCCTTCCTTCCTGTTAGCTACTTTCTTAATGAGCCCAGAGAATCTTCCCAGAATAGCAGCTGGTGTCAGTGTGGCTCAAGGTTAAATCCAGTGCAGCCGTTTAGTGAATGAATGATCGAGAAGGATGGTTTTCTACGAAAGGAGAGCGGAACACGATTCACCAACTTGTCTTCTTGACCTGTTTGGCTGTAGCATGATTGGTTGCAGTAATTATCTAGAGTAGCTGAACTCTTAATTCACTTAGAGACCCCGATGAGTAACAGGCTGAAAGAAAGACGAAGAGTTCTTCCTCCATTTCAGAGCCCATCAAAGATGACTTACTGACAAAGAGAGTCTCTCCTCCCGTTTGCAACCAGTACACCTGCCCCACCCCTGGGGTCATTTCTAGAATGACCTTTCTACCAATTTCCAGGGGAAGGCGGTTGTACCCCTTTTGACTTCCCACTTCTCTGGATTTTCATCAAGTCTCAGCACAGTTTCCGTTGGTTCTCATTCCTACGTTAGAGGTTTAGTAGAAAGAACTACAAGTTCTGGAGCAGGATGCCAACCTCTCCTCTCAGACACTGTGGGCTGTGGGCAGCTGTCAGACTCTGTCATCTTCAATCTACTGTGTTAGCTCTGCTATTGTAAAGGTGGCTTAAGCACCAGATACCCATTTTCTCACAGTTCTAGAGGCTGACAGGTGCCAGCAGCGCTGGTTTCTGGTAAGGTCTCCCCTCCTGGCTTGCAGATGGCCATCATCTTGTCCTGTTCTCACTTTCCCCGAGAGAACAATCTCTGCCACTATGTATAAGGGCACAGATCTTATCGGAGTAGGGCCCCATCCTTACAATTGTCTCGGTGCAGGCTGCATCTCCTAATAGAGTATTAAAATATTGGAGTGTTAAAGAAGATGCTGTTTGGGATTGGAGATGTAGCTTGGTGGTAGAACACTGCCTCTAATGGAATTACACACATTACAAAATAAACTGTCTTGGGTACTTTTATGTTGCTGTGTTAAAATACCATTGTGCCTTAACCAATACAATGTGGAATCAAATATTTTTATTAACAGGAGAAAACACTTAACACACAAGCTGGAAGATTAGAAACGTGGCAGGCTTCCAAGATAGAGTACTTTTTCTTTTGCTTCCTTTTATCCTTACCTGTGCCCATCCCTTATCCACGCCCCTTTGGGCATGGATAATATTGTGGGCTCATCCGTACAATTCCCCTTTTAGTCTAAATAAAAGATTTAAACTTGATACAAAACTCAAACATATATGACATGTATACATAGAAGATGATAAGCAAGTTATAGTCTACTTATATCCTAAATTAAGCATATCTATCCCATCTAAATCCTAAACTTATCTGAAAGGGACGCCAAAGTCTGAACACCTCCTTCCAATCCCAACCCTAAAATAATTGAAAACTAACATTAACAGGTATAAGATATCCTGTAATATCAACAGTAGGGAAAGGGGGCGTAGTATTCTCAAAATTACTTCCTGTTGAAATGGGACCATGACAATCTCATGGGGACCTTTGGGAAGAAAATGGAAGTGTAACAAAAGTCTTAAGTAGGTTAAATAGTCTCTGTTTGACAGGAGATGCTTGATTGAAGTTCTTGACTGAAGTTCTAATGTTGAATGAACCTCTTGTCTAAAGCTCTGGCCAGAAGCAAGCAATTTAAAGGAGACAGGGTTTGCTTTGTGTTACAGCTCAGGTAGGACACAGTGGATCATGGCAGGGAAGACGCGGCGGTAGATGGGGTAGAAGACACGGTGGCAGGAGGCTGGCTGCATTGCATCTGTACTCAGGAAGGGCAATGAACAATGTTGTGGAATATTAGTTTAAGATGTGTTACATTCGTTTACGCTGTGGAATATCTGTTTAATGATGTAAGGATGTGTTGCATTCCTTTATGTTGCATTTGTTTGTTACTTTGCCTGTTTAAAATACCTGGTTGGGCTCATAAAGAGTTGAATGGCCAATAGCAAGGCAGGAGAAAGGATAGGTGGGGCTGGCAGGCAGAGAGAATAAATTACAGGAGAAATCTGGGGAGAAAAAGATGAGGAGGACATCGGGAGCTAGCCGCCTGGCCACACAGCAGGCCACGGAGTGAGAAGGAAAGAAAAGATATGCAGAAATAGAGGAAGGTAAAAGTCCTGAGACAAAAGGTACATGGGATAATTTAAGAAAAGCTGGTTAGAAACAAACCAAGATAAGGCTGTTTTATAAGTAAATTAAGTCTCTGTGTGGGATTATGTGGGATCTATGTGGTAGGCCCCTGAACGAGTAAAGAGGAAAACAGTCAACTACAGAACAGAAAGTGGGGACTGACTACAAAGCTTCAAGTACCCGCCCCAGTGATTCACTTCTTTAGCGATGTTTCCACCTCCCAAACATTCTAGAACCTTCCTAAACAACACTGCCAGATGGGAACATCATCTATTTGAGCCCGTTTCACATTCAAACCACAGCATAAAAAAGTGCCTCCCCCAACCTATTCAATGACATTTGTTGGGCTACTGTAGGGTAAGCTGTATTCAGGACCATGGGGGTTACTGTGATGCGGGCCTATGGTAGGAGAGAGAGAGAGAGAGAGAGAGAGAGAGAGAGAGAGAGAGAGAGAGAGAGAGAGAGAGAGAGAGAGAGAGAGACAGACCTAGCTCACAAGAGTCAAGGGGCAGAGTTGGGAGACAAGGATAAAAGGAATTCTGGCTAAAGACCCAGGCCAAAAGTCATGCTGAAGTTTAGCCATCACCGTGGGAATGTGGGAGATGAAACACCCAATCAGATGTTGCTAAGGCTTGAATCAGTATTCTCCGAAAGTTTGTGTGTTGAAGGCCTGGTCCCCAGGCCATAGCTGCCAGGAGGCAGTGAACTGCTGGATAAAGAAATCTTCTGGTCATATGGTGCATGCCCCTCTAGAGGGTACTAGAACCCTGTTCCCAGCTCTCTCTCTCTCTTTGGGTTCTGGCTGCCGTGATGTTGGCAACTTTCCTTTTCCAGTCTCCCACCATGCTGTTCAGCCTTTCTACAGTCCCCGATGTAATCGTGCCAAGTGGCCATGGCCTGGAACCTCTGAGAGCATAATACAAAGCAATCCTTTCTTATTTTTGTGTTTCTCTCTTTAAAAAAAGATTATCCTTCTCTCATACATCCAGACCACAGCTTCCCCTCTCTCCACTCCTCCAAGCCCTCCTCCACCTCCCCTCTCCCCCAGATCCACTGCTCCTCAGTCTCCCTTCAGAAAAGAGCAGGCCTCCCAGGGGTATCAGCCGAACAGCCTTTCCTAATTTTTAAGTTGATAATTTCAGGGTTTTTGTTACAGTGATTACTTTACGCGTGTTAGCCACGCAACTCTGGAAGGCATGGATCTAGTTTGTTCTGTCACTGTGATATACAGCATAACCAAAAGCAACTTAGGGTTTATTTGGTTTTAGCTCATTTTTGCTAAGGCAAGAACCTGGAGGCAGGAACTGAAACAGAGATCATGGAGGAACACTTTACTGGCTTTTTGAGCTCCTTTTCCAATATATCCTAAGTTTACCTGCCTAGGGATGGCACTGTCCACATTGGGCTGGCTTGAGCCTTCCAACATCAACCAAGAAAATACCTTACAAACATGATAACAGGCCAATCTGATGGTGACAGTTCCTCAACTGATATTATCCCTTCTTGGGTGGCTGTAGTTTGTGTCAGGTTGACAAAAACTCACC